GAGTCTCTGAGACCTTTTTTTAAAATGAATCCGCTTACAGAGACAAGTGGACACAGACACACATATATCTACATGGTTGTGTGTGACCTGTTTTTATAACAATTAACTCATTCACTGCCATTGACGACTAAAGGTGTCATTTTAGATCCAGCCGTTCACTGCCAATGACGACTAAAGTCATCATTTGCATTTTTTACTGTTTGAGCATCGGAACGAGCCCCCGCGCTGAGAGAACAAACATCTCAGCCCTGAAGCCGATCTTCATCCGCATACGTCACAGATCACATGATCAGGAAGCAACACATCCATGTGTAAGGAGGTCGTTTTGGGCCGTTCCTGTAAAAAAAGTGAGGCGCGAAACGGAAAAGCGTCTGCCGATCACAATTCGACAACGGATTATGAAAGAAGGGATAACGCTCGAAACACGCGGACTCTTCCTGATGTAAGAGGTGAGTCTCCTCTTTGTTTTGGTTGTTTTGGCATCGACATCATGCTAGCGCGCAACGTTCTGTCACGCTTAAAAAAACAGTAAAAACGGTGAGAAACGCTGGCAGCGAATGAGTTAAAGGGGAAACTAGGCAGTTTTGGCTTGCTTTTAGCAGCCCCTGGTGTCAGTTTGTAGAACAGCTAACAGCAGAATTGTCTCCCCAGCCATCATTAGTGTCTACTGGAGTGATTCATCACTAAATTGAACAAATCAGCTGTGTCCATGATCTAAAACATGCAGGACTCATGATGGAAGCAGACTGCAGCACCAGGTATGTCAGCTCAATGATTTCTAAGTCCCAACAGAGCAACCTAACCAGTCTGAAGTTGCAAGTGGAATATTCTGGCCACATGGGGCGATAGGGGCTGGGTGGCCTTTCATTAACTTTAGCCCTTTTTAGAAGACGCACCATGCTGGCAAAATGAAAAAAAATGAAAGTAAACACGGCCGTAAGTTTTACTTTTGTAAACAGAAAAAACTGAGATGATAAACTGGAGGGATGCAGAGCTCCTCTCCCTTATAACTGAAGGTCAGATCACCAGAGCCTACTGTCACGGTTGGAGGTGAGTGAAAACACCTGACCCTCATTCTGTTTGAGTGCAGATGGGCGGAACCGGAGAGCAACGAGCCATCTGCTACTCATCAGCAGGCTTCTTAAGGAGCAGGGAGACGCACCTCAGCGCTGGATGATTACCCAATCTTGGTAGAGCTACCTGAGTGTCACGAGCCTTTTTATCTTTGACTATTGTCTCCCGAGCTTCGTTCCGAGTAACCTCACCCTGCTTCTCCCTCTCCTTCAGGTCAATCCTCCGCTTTCAGAACCTGCCATAAGACACGGATCCACGCCTGTCTCCCCGCTCCAGCCTCTTCTGACCAGCCAGCTCTCTGCCGCCTCCGCACCCTCCCCCCTCTTAGGACTCCGAGGATTCGCCCTGTCTCGCGCTCCTCCTGTCACTCACCAGCCAACCGGACCCTCTTCTCTCCTCCCTACCCAGAACGCTGGGCCCCAGGATTTTTGGACTATAAAGAACTGAGCTAAGCTCCAAATTGTCACCTACCTTTAACGGTGCTCCTTTAGTTAAGATAATAAATATTATCTGTTTTTTCTAACCCGTCCTCTTGACTCTGAAGTTGATTCTGTATGTCTTGGGTCAGACGGTTAACCCCAAACATGACACCTACACAGGGATTGTGGAGGACGGATACCTTTAGGAGCGGCTTGTCAAAAAAACTTAATGAGTGCGGCTTTGATCACAATAAAAAGCAAGTTATGTCCAAGATAAACGGCAGTCCACGGCAGCGCAGAGACCGCCCCATGCCCTTTTATACAGCCATCGTGTAATCGTTTATAAAAAGGACACGATTGCGCTAAATTAGCACCACGGTCTGACTACTTATAAACAACCTAAGGCTCCCTGATGCCGCCATGGTGTTCCGGCGGCACGGTTTTCTATAAGAGGCTTCTGTAAAGAGTCACTTTAGCACTTACTTGCTCAAGAAAATGATACAAAAATACGAAAAAGTTTCAAATGATCCCTTTAAGTTCCTCTTCTGAAAACCTTTAAAAGTTTCTATGAGAACGAGTTCAGACCAATACTGACTTGCAACGTGGATGTTTTATCTCCACAAATAACACAAGAGTGTGGCGGAGTTCCTAATGCTAACGGGTAACTTTTACTAGACAAGACCTTCTCTGCTGTTTTTGGACTCTAAGCCAGCAGCAGCAGCCCCCCCCCAGTCGTGAGTCCAGATGGGTGAGTCCATGAATGCTAAGTGACAGTGTGATGTAGATCTGTCAGGATTTTTCCATCCTAGAGTTTCACCGTCTATTTTCTGTCAGAAGCTAATGCAGCAGATAGGTGTAGGAGATTGTTTTCCTGTTCAGCCTGCATGAAAAACTCAGAGTGACCGATTATAATCAGGAATAATGATTAAAAATGGTTTTCCAGTGAACCACACCTTTAATGCAAACTAACATGAACAGGAATGATCTGTATTTCTGCTGTACACATTTTCTCCTCTTCGTTTACCAGTAAAGACACTGGACACCCCCCAGTGACACCAATGGTTCTGTTGTACTCAACCGTCTCTGCGTTTGCCGTCAGACGACCCACACATCCTCTGAACGAAGTGACTGTGAGGTTGTGCCTGTGGGTTGGAGACCAGTTCAGAGGAAATGCTGATGTTGTGAATGCTCCGTGCACCAGCTGGGTTACCTCTGTCGGAGCCAAGCGGGTAGACCTCCCATGTAAAACCTTCTGAAGTTTGTTCCAGCGTTATCTGCAGAAATCTGTTTTGTTCCGTAGCGAACAACAAATCTGTCTGCAATGCTGACTGCAAACTGTTGGTCCTGAGACAAGAAAACACATCAGAAAGTGTGCCTTTTTTCAAAGCAGTGCTCATTTAAAGATCTTACAGAGAGAGACACTTGATCTGGACTCTGAACTCTGAGTTCTTTGTTTGCTTGTCGTCCTCGGAGCACCAGGAAGCCCCTCTCCAGAAACACACAGAAATAAGACTCCTGTAGAAAGTGGAGCACATCCATTAGCACCAAACAGATGTTTAACTGGGCTCTGTTAACCAGTTTATGTTCATGTTTTACTTCATTTTCAGTGAAGAACAGGAAGGCGTCTGTCCCTGGGCTGTGTGTGTGGAACTTAAACAGCTGGCTCTTCCTGTTTGGCTCCTTTATGAGCGCCATGCTGTAACCTGTCCCATCATAATAATCAGACACATCTTGCTGGGGAACTCTAGACACAAATAACAAATAAAATCATCCAGCTTCTTCATGTCTGACCACCATTTTAATCATCAAGTTAAATGTGTTCTCACAGAACAGCAGGCTGCTGTGCATCCATGTTTTCTGCATGCTTGAAATTATAAAGGCTGACAGGATAGTCGTTGATGTAGGAGAGTTTCATGGCTCCCCTGTACTTTGTGTAACGCAGCTCCTTTGGCGGCTGAAAAAAATGAAGAGGGGATGAAAACAGGAACTGAAAAAGCTGGTGTTAGAAATAGACTTTCATGGATTTGTTGGGGACAGTCGGAGGCGAAATAAGTGTCTTCAGAGCCTTTTCCATTAACCTTTTCTCCCCTGGGCATCCAGGGAATGGTCCTGCACCCATTCCCACCACAACACAACTGTCAACTCCTAATTGTTCCATTTCAGCCTCTCACTTTGACAATCAGAGCATGCCAGACTCATACGGAACCCCAATTCTGCAGTGGAGGAACTTCAACTACGGTCATCTAGTCCGTGAAAAACGTGTTCTCAAAAACCTTCTAAGTCAAAACAAACACATCAGGAATTCAGGTTTAAAACTTCACACGTATAAAAACATACAATGCAAAGGGTAAGAACTCATCTCACCGATATATCTCACATTAGCAAGAGTTGCTAACAAACATGATCACTACCATATTAAAGGACTGGTTATTGCCTTGTAAGTCCATCTTGGGGGGAAGAAATATACCAGTGCACCATTTCTCAGACCCAGTGTTGCCAACTCAGCAACTTTGTCGCTGTTCCTAATGATTTTTTGCGCCTCCCTCCACCGATTTTTTTTTCTCCCAAAAAGCACCTAACGACAAACCTAGCGACATTTCTGAGGACCCTTTGATACTTTCTGTGGAACTTTCTTGTAGACATTTCCTGCAGATTAGCAACAAATTCACGCTTCTACTAGAAACAGGCGCAGGCGTGAATCTGCAGCGTCTGGGTTTCCGGCCGTCAGGCACTTTGACCCTTCCTGCATTTGGCAAATAAAGTCCGTTTGAACTACCATCCCATTAACATCCAGCTCATCTGAATTTCCTTCAGCAACACGGGGATGGTCATATTGTGAGACACCTGCTCCTTTTTGCTCGGTGCACCAGTGCGCACCGTTATCACGATGGAGAGAAAACACAACGGAGAAGTTGAGAAACTATGAAGGGGACAAAAGCAGACGTTCTCTGCTGATTCCAGGACGCTAAAACAACAACAGCTTTCCTCGTAGTGAGTCAAGATTGGTGAGTCCATGAACGTGACATAGGTCTGTCAGGATTTTTGAATCCTAGAGTTTCACCATCTATTTTCTATTAGAAGCTGATGCAGGAGATAGGTGTAGGCGACTATTTTCATGTTCAGCCTACATAAAAAACTCAGAGTGACTGATTATAGCCAGAAATTTTAAACATTTTAAAAATGTTTTTTCAGTCAACACACACCATTAAAGTCCTGCAGAATATATATATATATATATATATATATATATATATATATATATATATATATATATTTATATATATATATATATTTATATATATATATATATATATAAATATATATATATATATATATATATATATTTATGTGTGTGTGTATATATATATATATATATATATATATATATATATATATATGTATACATACATGTGTGTATATATATATATATATATATATGTGTGTGTGTGTGTGTGTGTGTGTGTGTGTATGTATATATGTATACATATATATACATATATATATATATATATATATATATATGTGTGTGTGTGTGTGTGTGTGTGTGTATACATATATATATATATATATATATATATATATATATATATATATATATATATATATATATATACATATACATATATATATATATGTGTGTGTGTGTGTGTGTATACATACATATATCTATATGTGTGTGTGTATACATATATCTATATGTATGTATGTATACACACATATATATATATATATGTATACACACATATATATGTATGTATACACATACATATATATATATATATATATATATATATATATATATATATGTGTGTGTGTATACATACATATATATATGTGTATACATACATATATATATATATATATGTGTATACATACATATATATATATATGTGTATACATACATATATATGTGTGTATACATACATATATATGTGTGTATACATACATATATATGTGTGTATACATATACATATATATATATATATATATATATATATATATATATATATATATATATATATATATATATATATATATATATATATATATATATATATATACAGTTGTGGTCAGAAGTTTACATACACTTGTAAAAAATATAATATAATGGCTCTACTGAGTGTCCCGTTATTTCTGAAACTCTGATTTTTCTCTGATAGAGTGATTGGAACAGATACTTCTTTGTCACAAAAAACATTCATGAAGTTCGGTTCTTTAATGTCTTTATTATGGGTTAACAGAGAAAAGTGATCACATTTGCTGGGTCACAAATATACATACAGCAACATGAACTAGCAATTTTGGTGACTTAGAAACGTGTCAGTGAACTGAGCTTCATAGCATGGCCTCGTAACTTCTTGTGAGTGATTATGAGTGACTACAGCTGGTGACTTCTCTTAGGCCAGGTAAATAGGGCTCATTGGATACAAACGCCCACAAACGCTACAATGGGAAAGTCAAAGGAGCTCAGCATGGATCTGAAAAAGCGAATTATTGACTTGAACAAGTCAGGAAAGTCACTTGGGACCATTTCAAAGCAGCTGCAGGTCCCAAGAGCAACAGTGCAAACAGTTGTTTGTAAGTATAAGGTGCATGGCACTGTTTCATCACTGCCAAGATCAGGAAGAAAACGCAAGCTATCACCTGCTGCTGAGAGAAAATTGGTCAGGAGGGTAAAGAGTGAACCAAGAATCACCAAAAAGCAGATCTGCCAAGAATTAGAAGCTGCTGGAACACAGGTGTCATTGTCCACAGTCAAACGTGTTTTGCATCTCCATGGACTGAGAGGCTGCCGTGCAAGAAGGAAGTCCTTGCTCCAAAAGCGGCACCTTAAGGCTCGACTGAAGTTTGCTGCTGATCACATGGACAAAGATAAGACCTTCTGGAGGAAAGTTCTGTGGTCAGACGAAACAAAAATCGAGCTTTTTGGCCACAATGCCCAGCAATATGTTTGGAGGAGAAAAGGTGAGGCCTTTAACCCCAAGAACACCATGCCTACAGTCAAGCATGGTGGTGGGAATATTATGCTGTGGGGCTGTTTTGCTGCCAATGGAACTGGTGCTTTACAAAGAGTAAATGGGATAATGAAGAAGGAGGATTACCTTTACATTCTTCAACATAACCTAAAATCATCAGCACGAAGGTTGGGTCTTGGGCGCAGTTGGGTGTTCCAACAGGACAATGACCCCAAACACACATCAAAAGTGGTAAAGGAATGGCTAAATCAGGCTAGAATAAGGGTTTTAGAATGGCCTTCCCAAAGTCCTGACTTAAACCCCATTGAAAACATGTGGACAGTGCTGAAGAAACAAGTCCATGTCAGAAAGCCATCAAATTTAACTGAACTTCACCAATTCTGTCAAGAGGAGTGGTCAAAGATTCAACCAGAAGCTTGCCAGAAGCTTGTGGATGGCTACCAAAAGCGCCTAATTGAAGTGAAAATGGCTAAGGGACATGTAATCAAATATTAGCACTGCTGTATGTATATTTGTGACCCAGCAAATGTGATCACTTTTCTCTGTTAACCCATAATAAAGACATTAAAGAACCGAACTTCATGAATGTTTTTTGTGACAAAGAAGTATCTATTCCAATCACTCTATCAGAGAAAAATCAGAGTTTTAGAAATAACGGGACACTCAGTAGAGCCATTCTATTATATTTTTTACAAGTGTATGTAAACTTCTGACCACAACTGTATATATACATATATATATACCATCTATATATATATACATACAGTGGGGCAAAAAAGTATTTAGTCAGCCACCGATTGTGCAAGTTCTCCCACTTAAAATGATGACAGAGGTCAGTAATTTACATCATAGGTACACTTCAACTGTGAGAGACAGAATGTGAAAAAAATCCATGAATTCACATGGCAGGATTTTTAAAGAATTTATTTGTAAATCAGGGTGGAAAATAAGTATTTGGTCACTTCAAACAAGGAAAATCTCTGGCTCTCACAGACCTGTAATGTCTTCTTTAAGAAGCTTTTCTGTCCTCTACTCGTTACCTGTACTAATGGCACCTGTTTGAACTCATTATCTGTGTAATAGACACCTGTCCACAGCCTCAAACAGTCAGACTCCAAACTCCACTATGGCCAAGACCAAAGAGCTTTCGAAGGACACCAGGAAAAGAATTGTAGACCTGCACCAGACTGGGAAGAGTGAATCTACAATAGGCAAGCAGCTTGGTGTGAAAAAATCAACTGTGGGAGCAATTATCAGAAAAAGGAAGACATACAAGACCACTGATAATCTCCCTCGATCTGGGGCTCCATGCAAGATCTCATCCCGTGGGGTCAAAATGATCATGAGAATGGTGAGCAAGAATCCCAGAACCACACGGGGGGACCTGGTGAATGACCTGCAGAGAGCTGGGACCACAGTAACAAAGGTCACCATCAGTAACACACTACAACGGCAGGGAATCAAATCCTGCAGTGCCAGACGTGTTCCGCTGCTGAAGCCAGTGCATGTCCAGGCCCGTCTGAAGTTTGCCAGAGAGCACATGGATGATACAGCCGAGGATTGGGAGAATGTCATGTGGTCAGATGAAACCAAAGTAGAACTTTTTGGTATAAACTCAACTCGTCGTGTTTGGAGGAAGAAGAATACTGAGTTGCATCCCAAGAACACCATACCTACTGTGAAGCATGGGGGTGGGAACATCATGCTTTGGGGCTGTTTTTCTGCTAAGGGGACAGGACGACTGATCCGTGTTAAGGACAGAATGAATGGGGCCATGTATCGTGAGGTTCTGAGCCAAAACCTCCTTCCATCAGTGAGAGCTTTGAAGATGAAACGTGGCTGGGTCTTCCAACACGACAATGATCCCAAACACACCGCCCGGGCAACAAAGGAATGGCTCCGTAAGAAGCATTTGAAAGTCCTGGAGTGGCCTAGCCAGTCTCCAGACCTCAACCCCATAGAAAATCTGTGGAGGGAGTTGAAAGTCCGTGTTGCTCGGCGACAGCCCCCAAAACATCACTGCTCTCGAGAAGATCTGCATGGAGGAATGGGCCAAAATACCAGCTACTGTGTGTGCAAACCTGGTAAAGACCTATAGTAATCGTTTGACCTCTGTTATTGCCAACAAAGGTTATGTTACAAAGTATTGAGTTGAATTTTTGTTATTGACCAAATACTTATTTTCCACCCTGATTTACAAATAAATTCTTTAAAAATCCTGCCATGTGAATTCATGGATTTTTTCACATTCTGTCTCTCACAGTTGAAGTGTACCTATGATGAAAATTACTGACCTCTGTCGTCATTTTAAGTGGGAGAACTTGCACAATCGGTGGCTGACTAAATACTTTTTTGCCCCACTGTATATATATGTGTGTGTGTGTGTGTGTGTACATATATATATATATATATATATATATATATATATATATATATATATATATATATATATATATATATATATATATACACATATATATTTATAGGTTATATAATGTCTGCACTTTTCCACGTTACCTGGATATTTAACATCCATGCAATGTGATTAGATAGGTGCATGGTTGGTTCTGGGCCAGAAATAGTGGTAAAGAAGTTGAGTGGAATATGAGTCAGCAAAAATAAATACCTACAACAAAGTCACTGGGATAACCCCCCACGTAGAAAACAGCTGTTTCTGGGTCCAGACTGAAGACGCCGCTCATGGTGTTTGGTTGCTTTAGTTTAGGAGGAAGGCTGACTGGGTCCTTCAGTGTGAAGTTTTGGGTGATTCTGACTTCAGCATCTTGGTAAACTCTGAGGAAATTATAAACCACATCATGAGAAGTGTTAACTTCGTGCTCTCTTTTCTGAGATGGTACCATTCACTTGAGGGCCATTCCCATCTGTACCGGGTCGGCCCAGGCCGGGTAGCCCCAGTCGGCCCCAGCCTGGCCCGGTTGATTCCACACATCCTTGCCTTAAGCCCATGTGGGCTGATTCTACCCACCAATCAGAGGCTTGCTCTAATGGAAGGTGTGAATTTGCTGTCAGCAGTGGGTGTGTTGGCCCTGGTCGGCCTGAAGCAGACCCCCTCCAGAAGAGGGCTGAGAATGAGCCTTGGTTGGCCCGGGAAAATACCAGGCCACTCAGATATGTAAACAACCTACGCTGCCCGGCCCGGGCCGACCCGGTACAGATGGGAATGGCCCATTGGAGTACCTTTGGAAGGTGACCCTGTCAAAATTAGAGGAGCTGACGTTGCTGGTTCTTATTTGGCTGCTTTGGATCTCATGAAGGACTCCACCCAACTTATAAACACAAATCAGCACCGTGTTTCTGATAGCCATCCCGATGTAGTCTCCAAAGGCCTAGACATGAAAGATTTTAGATGAAAGTCAGGTTTGAAAGAAGAAAACAACACGTATGAGTCTGGATTCATACAGAGGTCCTCCTCACATCTTTGTTACCCAGGTAAAGGACAAAGAGGTTTTCATCTCTGTGTTTGTTCTGCCGTCGCTTTCTCCTTTCGTCAGTCACTGCAGGTTTGTTTGCGTGGCGATTGAGGAGCAGGTCGACCACTGTGAAAGCTTTAATGTCCTCCAAGTTCCTCGGAGGATGAAGCTCAACGTGAGCTTTTCCATTAAACGTGGTGGCAACAGAGAGCTGTGAGAAGAACAGGAAAGGTTAAAAAGTTTTAGTGTAGAAAATGTTTCTCATGCATCGGCTTTTCCTGAGCAGGGTAAAGAGAGGGTGTTCGCCCAGGGCACCAAACAGCCTAGGATTGCCCTTGGAGAGGTGGAAGACACCCTGGACAGGTCTTCAATTCAATTCAATTCAAGTTTATTTATAAAGCGCCAAATCACGACAGGAGTCGTCTCAAGGACCTTCACATAATAAACATTCCAATTCAGGACAGTTCATTAAGCCAATCAGAAATAAAGTTTCCTATATAAGGAACCCAGCAAATTGCATCAAGTCACTGACTAGTGTCAGTGACTATACAGCAATCCTCATACTAAGCAAGCATTTAGCGACAGTGGAGAGGAAAACTCCCTTTTAACAGGAAGAAACCTCCAGAGAATCCTGGCTCAGTATAAGCAGCCATCCTCCACGACTCACTGGGGATCGAGAAGACAGAGCACACACACACACACACACACACACACACACACACACACACACACACACACACACACACACACACACACACACACACACACACACACACACACACGCACACACACACACACACACACGCACGCGCGCGCACGCACACGCACGCACACACACACACACGCACGCACATACACACACACACACACACACACACACACACGCACGCACGCACGCACACACACACACACACACACACACACGCACACGCACACGCACACACACACACACACAAGTACGCACGCACACACACACACACACACACACACACACACACAGTCCATCACAGGGACACAGAGACAAACAAACACACACTCACACCTGACAGCGTTGTTTTTGGCTTCTTAGCTTCATTAAACATAATAACTCTTGCCAAGAATTGGGTTTTATTTCATTTTCTTCTCTCTATTTCTTTCTTGCTGAACTGGTTTGCTGAGAGGAAAAGCAGCTACATCTCAAAGAATGTAATTATCATGAAAAATACTAAATATTTTAAATATTTCAAACCTTTATTTCTTGTCATTTTAATAATTACACCCTACAGAAGATGAAAATCTAGTGTCTCAGAAAATTAGAATGTTGCAAAAAAGGAAATAGTGTCACAACTTAATGAGCAAATTAACTCAAAACTGCTGAAAGTTACGTTTGTGAAGTCCACGGTTAATACAGCCACCTAGCGGGATGTTCATGCTTCCTTCTCCTGACAAGATGAATGCAGACGCTGATGTCCTGCTGTCGTGATCATCTTTCCTGAGCTATAACCCTGATCTCTGACAACTACAAACTACAAGGGGCACCAAAAACTAGCCACAGGTGAGGGTACTAGCACAGTAACCTTTGAGGTAGTATTTTTACCAACTGTTGTCTTCAGCGGTCACTGAGCGAGAGGTGACGTTAACATTTTCATCATTGCATTATTTATTTATTCTGGGCATATAATCTAATTTATTTCTATTAAAATTCGTATAATAATGTTAAGGAAATAATATTGAAATGTGTTCACGTTTTATTTTTATCCAAATATCATCATATTATTTAGAAATTTTAATTTATTAGTTTTCTAATACTTTCTTAAATGAGATATTAGAACTACAGGCGACATTCAAAAACTAACATATGAGATGGACTCATTGCATGCAAAGTTAGGTATCTCAAGCCTTTATTTGTTATAACTGTGGTGATTATGGCTTACAGCTTATGAAAACCCCACATTTATAATCTCAGACTATTAGAATATTGTGAAAAGGTTCAATATTCTAGACTCAAGGTGTCACACTCTAATCAGCTAATGAATCCAGAACACCTGCAACGGGTTCCTGAGCCTTTAGATGGTCTCTCAGTCTAATCTGGAGGAGTTTCTGCACCATATTCTCATTTTTCCAGTTTTACCTGTATAACAAGCGGTGGAGCTGCCAGTTAAAGAGCTGGAAAGTAGCAAGTCCGCCACAGGGCCTCATAGATGTGAATGCAAAAAGCACATGTTCACAATTAATAGTAATTTAGATCAACATCAGTTATTTTGTTGTTGTTGTTGTTCTAGAATAACCTATAAAGAAGTCACACATGCATTGGTGAGCACCTTGCAGAAAGGCCCCAGCTGGGTGTCAAACCTAACAGCTTCTTGCTGCAGCCCTGCAAACTCCACCACCAGGCTGCCTCTAATGGAAGCTGACAGATGTAGATGTAAAAGAGAAACCCACCCTGTTGACTAGGTTTCTTGTCTCATCTATGACATCGTTGATTCTCCTGATGCTCTCTGTGATGTTGGCAGCAGGAGGCGTCTTCCTGCTGAGAGCACTGATTTGTTTCAGCTTGGCGCTCAGCACAGGGAGCTCTCTGTTGAAGCTCTTCACTGTAACACACCCCCAAGACCCAAGAAAACAGCCAGAAAATCCAAATATGTGCCAGTGAGGATGGATTTGTAGTAATTTGTAAAGGTTTATGCACAGAAAAACCTTATTTACATCCAGAGTTGTATATTTTTAATATAACTCACGAGCTTGATCCGCTCCTGCCAACACACCATCTCTATCCACACCGATGTTGCTCAATCTTGCCACCTCAAAACTGATGTCACTTAGCTTTTCTTTCACATTACTGATCCTGGAGTTTGCAGTGGAAGTAGCAGTCCTCACAGATTCTGCAAAGACACCTGCCTCATCTGAAATGACAAAAACAAATCCAGCATGCAGATGCAGGCCACAAGGAGCTTTAAGGCATTTAATCGGTCCCACAAACCTCTTCTGATCTGTTTGATGTCCTCTTTAAGAGTCAACATAACCTCTTTCATCAATGTCCTCTTTTGCCTTTGCTTGTTCACTCTATTGTTGAGCGTGTTAACAAACCGTGAACCCACTGAAGAGACAGAGAAGATGTTTTTTTTTGTCTTTTTGCACCTTCAGAACGAAATCACATGCATGTAAATGATGGTTTTCACTGACATCTAAAGGAGTCCAGTGTGTTGTTGGCTTCTGTTTGTAAATGACCGGATTTGTCCTCCATCTCTTCAGCGTTCATATTCAGACGTCCTTCCTTCACATCCTAATTTATCATTCCAGAATTAATGTCCCTGATAAATATTCAAACGTTCAGCACAGAATCAGGGACAGGGCTCAGTTACCTCTAAGATCTGATCAGCAGCCCCTCCGGACCAGTTTGCTTTCAACTCGGCCTCCTCCAGGGTTTGGATGATGCTGTTATAAACTCCTGATACATCAGCGCTGTTGATCGCCCTGTGAAACAGCCCAAAAGCATCCGGGATGGGGTGTTATTACAAAAATATAAATATTATTTGCTCTTGTAGTTTCACTCACTGCTGCAGTTCTGCGGTCACATCGGCGACTTCCTCGGCATGTTGCTCAGCTTTCACCGCCACACCCCCCTCTGACATTAACCAGAAGCTTTTATTTAACCTTTTAACGAGTTCCAGTTTGGCACCATCCATTTGAGCTGAAAGATGCTCAAGTTCCTGCAATCCAGACTCGGTACATTCAGGGTTGTGGGTTTCAAAACGGTGTCAGCTTGTGTCAGCAGAGGAAATGCGTGCTTACGTCTTTAAATTTGTCAAGCATCAAAAAGATGTCAGTAATTTTCTTTAGCAGCTTATGAGTCATGACAGTCACAGGATGGAGCATGTTTTGTTCCACCTCCAGCTGAGCCAGAGCATGCTGGCATGGATGAAAAGGAAAGCAGAATTTGAAACAATTCACAGTAAACCGTTGTACATCAGAGATGTCTGATCCAGTCGGAGAGGACTGCGCTCAGATTACCTGGAGGTGTTGTTGTGTAGCCTTCATGTTGGGGCCCCGTGTTTTGCTGACTGTGTTATTTGCATTTAGAAGATGCTCAGAAATTTCTGTCAGTGAATTTTCCATCCGTTTCAGGTCATCCTTCAAGGTTTCAGTAGTCACGTTGTTGCGGACGCGATTCAACACTGAGGGGAGGATTTATAGTAGGGAGTCAGCCGGTGCGATCTGAACCTGCATGGTGTCCGTGAATTAACAGAATATATTTTTACTCATCCAGCTGCGCCCCCCCCCCCCCATGTAAAAAAAAAAAACATCCATTTGTCTGTGTTTGGTTTTAGCTATTATTGTGCCTATAACAAGCTGCTTCATGCACAAATCTTTTAATTCATTAATAATCTTTCTCAAAAATCTTTTTATTTTACTATAAAGGAAATTGTAAAGTTGTTCGATTACTTCTCAATGTTAAACCAAGCTATCATCTGCCAGTTGACATGTTTTCCTTGACACTTTTCCATAATGCAAAAATTATATCCGTAGAATAGAGCTGCTGGAGGAACAGCAGCTCTGCTCTGAGCCCCTCCCAGATATCAGAGCTTAACAGGGAGATACTGTAGTTGTGACTACAGCATCTCCCTGACCATGGGTACCCAACAGCCAAAAAGAAAGAAAGAGAGTTTAGGGTTACAGTTATTTTCTTTTGATATGTGCCATGGATTAAATATATAATGTCTGTCCGTTTTAAATACACATTTTGAAGCTTATTTTCAAATAGCGTGAGAAAGCACATTCAGGACAACAAATGTTTGTTTCACCAAACTGACGTCATTGAACCAGACACGGAGCAGAGAAGATTGGTTAAGTGAGCTTTGAATGGTTCATCCAGGACGACAGAAGGAGCATTAAACATTGAGAAAACCACTATAAATCTGGCCGTGTGGTTAGTAGCAGCCATGCTAGCGAAGGAGAGTTTCTGCAGTGACATCACACGTGTGACGTTTGATTTATAGTCATTTTAATGAAGCAAATAAAATCTCAAACTAGTATGTGAAAGGCACAATTGAAGCACACAATGACGTTTAATTTGAATGGAAGTACATGTGTGTGATTCAGAGGGTAAGGCTAAGCAAATTAGAAAATAGCCTTTAAAGCTCTCTTCACTTGCATTCATTTTTTCATTGTTCCAGGCACGGAGGTAGTTTTGACTTTAAAAATGGGGGCACACAATCGGCATGAGGACCGGGGGTATCTTTACAGTGAGCATATAAAAACATATATAAAACTACAGCCTAGAGGCTATTTAATGCAATGTCAGGAATGCAGAACTGCTAAGTACACAGGTGGCAGGAACGGCCAATCATACGTCAGCAAGAATCAGCACAGCCAATAGATGAGCTTATGGACGGTTCTAACGGGAAACAAGCTCCAACATGTGCTGTTATTTCAGCTTTGTCCTAGTGCTCAATTAGTGTCTGTTTAATACAGCGTGATGTTGTTGTTGTTGGACGGAAAAAGTGCGGGGGACAAAATTTGACTTTGGAAAGGTGCTGTTTTGCGAGGCCAGGCGCCTTGGTCATGAGGACTCTGTCCTTCCTTGGTCAAAGAAAATGGTTAAATGGAAAAGGTTTGCATCACGTGATGTGACACGTGACAGGACGACGTTACATTGGATACATATAAGTTTCAATAGAACAAGCCTTTCACTTTTAAATTGTGTATTTATTGGTTAAATTAAATATGTAAGCGAGTTACTACCCGCTAGCCACCAAAGCTGCAACTACTGAGCAACTAACCAACCATAGATAACTTCTTTGGATCTAAATAAAAATATTTCAGATATCAGTTTGATAGCTACAGTTAGTTGGCTTACGTTTTAACTGGAAATTTGCCCCCGAAGTAGCTGCCTGCTTCTGATCCACCATTCTTTTTGAAAACACCGCTGTACTCTGGGAAAACTTTGACCAAGGCTAGGATACAAGATACCTCCCATGTATCCTTGCTCAGCTAGCTAAACAGCTAACGAACGAAGAACAGATGCCTCTGTAGCACATGAACACTGGATCACACCTTGGCAGTTCCTGATGACTTATCTCCTAGGCAACCAAAGCGGGACCAAAATATCAAGACAAGGTTCCTAGACATTGAGAAACACCCTTAGGCTCCCTATAGCTTATAGTAGCCTTAACAGGGCTTGGTGGGAGTGGCCAGCAGCAGCTTGTTTTCTTAAAGTGACAGAGCCCAGAAACAGCTCATTCTGGAAGGTACTGAAAATTTCAAGATTAAAGCTGCTGAAATCTCTGAGAGGGAGAGGGATTTAGCGCAAAGAACTTCATAAACATTGACCTTTTATAATTTTGGGGAAAAAGTCATGATATGTTCCCAAAAATAAAACAAACCTCAATCTATCCTTAAGCAACAGAAAACGACTCTTAAGTAAATTAGATGTTGTTTTAATGAGGAACCAAACTTCAGTGAGATCAGTTTCATCCCAGTACCCCCCACCCCCACCCCCCACCCCCCCACCCCAATCTCCTGCAGCCTCAACAATCTGCCTGGTAAAGGGAAAAACCGGTCAGTCTCTCACATATGAGGGTCTTTTTCTGCTCACTGCCCACTTTGGCCCTCTGCGATGTGCAATTTCTGTTTCTAATTTCCTGCGTGGTTTGCAGAGCCTCCTCCATCTTCTGGATTTTGTGATTTTCAGTGAGAGTGTCTTCAGATTTCACCAAAGTTTGCTGCTTCATCAAATCTGTTGAAGCAGAAAAACTTTAAAGAAACATGGAACTCAGCTGTTTCATTAAATCTCTGCGAGGACTGAGTGTACCTTTTACTGCTGCGAGAAGAACGGCAGCTTCAGACAGAAGATCCTGCACCCAGAGCCGGGATCCATCCAGACTTACCAAAACATCTCCCAAGTCCGTCACAATATCAAGTGTCTAAAAGTTGGTCATAGTTTCAAAAGTTGGGTTTAGATTTGATGACATCGTGAGACGAGAAATGGGTTTAATTTTATGAACAAATTTATGATTAACAACAAAAAAAATTCACTCCAGGTACCAGATCAGTCTGGTGACTCAAGTCATTCCTGACAGCATCAACATCTGGACCCAGCAGTTCAACCTTTGGATCCAGTTGCATCGCAGCTGCTCTGAAGCTACCAACCTGGAAATGGTGAGAACTCAAAGTCATGAAGAAACCTGCAGATTTAATGAAAGGACATAGCTCTAAATGTCTCAGACGAAGATCTGAGTGAACCTGGACTTCGATGTCAGAGATGCTCTTCTCCAGATGATGCAGCCTGTGAAATGAAGCAGAGCCGTGGGCAATGATCTGCAGCTGCTGCTTCGGCCAAACCAGGTCAGCATCAAACTTCTCCAAGTCCTCCAGCTGAGTGTAAGCACAGCGATCCCCTTCTGCCATCAGGTACAAGGGATGCATTAAACAGGAACGTTCCGCGTATTTCATCTCAAAGTTTCACGTTTACTTTCATCACTAACTCACCACAGCTGGTCTGACCCCACGTGGTGCACTCTGTCAAAAGAAAGAGGTTCAACAGTGGATCAGATCATTATGAGCTCACTCTGTCTACCACAGATGAAACATGTCAGATTACACCTGCTCAGTTATTTCTTATTTGGGCGTCTTGTCTGTGAAGATGAGAGGCTGGAGTTTAAACTCAGCATCAACATGTGGCAGAAGTGAGATTGGACGTGGGATGGTATTTTGTGTCAGATGGGCCATTTTAGATATTTCAGAATTTTCTGATCCACTGGGATTTGGACCCAGGGATGGATTAAATGTATCAATGGTGGAGATGTAGAGATGTTCTGGTCCCATGTTGGACCCCTTAGTACCACCTGAGCCTGGTTTAAACCCCACAGCCCAACTGAGTATTGTTGCTGACCATGTCCATCCCTTTAGGACCACATGGACCCAACGTCCAGCAGGATAAAGCCCCATGTCACAACGCTCAGATCATCTCTACCTGTTTCACTGAACATGGCAACACGACCACTACCCGGAGATAACTCGCTGATCAAGCCTTCCAACACCTTACTGAATCAGTGCCACAAATACTCGGGATAGTTCTGAAGGCAAAAAGGGGTCCAACCTGATGCAGGTCTAATAAAGAGGCCAGAGAGTGCCTGCTATATAACATGAAGTGTTTATGTTAAACATGTTTAGGAGCTTCTCAGTGCAAAGCAACCAACGACTCAATTACGTTTCATTTTTCTATATAAATAAAACTTACTTCCTGTGAGAGAATCACAAGCAGTCGTGCTGTTGGCTGTACAGTTACAGGGTTTGCAGATGCCTCCATGCACCATTGGATTGCCATAGTAACCATAGGCACATCTTAGAAGGGAGAAATTGCAAAAAGGAAATTGCTGCTGGTAAAAGGATGAAATCATTGTAGAAGTAGCACATGACCATGATGCAGATATTTATTGTGGCTGTGTCTCACCTCTCACACCTGCTCCCAGCGTAACCTTTATCACACAAACATTCAACCACTCCTGAGTGAATTTCCAGGCAGGCCAAAGCTAAACTAGAAAAGATGAATGAAATTATATTTACAGGTGTGCAAAAAAAAGAGCTCCAGCTGTTTGTGAGCAGGGTGAGTGATCAAAAGATGCTGACTTGTTCTGAGTAAAGGGACATGGACAAGCACGGCAGGTCCTGTTGGCTGCATCGCCATAGTAACCATTTTTGCATCGCTCACAGTGGACCCCAGTAGCGTTAAACTGACAGTTCTGTGGGTCAGAAGGATCAAACACAGCAGCAGCGGTTTTCTGGCTCAGTGATGTGGACACAAACAATTACATTTGATGGATATGCATGTGTGTGTGTGCGTGCGTGCGTGCGTGTGTGTGTGTGCGCGTGTGTGTGTGTGTGTGTGTGCTCTTGAACACCAACCAGGCAGCTCCCTGTCAGGTCATCACACACATCAGAGAGTCCATTGCAGCTACATGGCACACACTGACCCTTGAGTGGTCCTGTCCACTCCCTGTAGAAGCCTGAGCTGCACTTCTGTACAGAAACAAGAGGCTGGAGAATCAGCTGGAGGACAATTAACACAAGCAGACACCTTCATCATGGGTAGTGGTGGATGTATTCCCAAAAGCACAAAAGGTATGAGACCCTAAAGGGTGTTTTTATATCATTTTACAGCTAATTGCTCTTTAAATATGGATTAGTGACTCGACAATGTCCCTCCATTTGCCGTGTTACCCATTCAGATGAATTTCATGAGTTTTACCATGGAAAAGAAAAACTTTTTGAGCGGTCGCACACGTTCTGTTCAAGCTGTGACTTCATTAGGAAACCCAGGGGAATACATGTAAAAAATCTCACATACATGAAATGTTTGCACAGTGATGGATTATTACAGACACAGACTGAGTTTATAGAATACCTGCTTTACAATTTTTTGGATGATCTTAATAAAAACTTTTCACTCCAACATCAAAACACATAAATCAAAAGTGGTTATTTTGTTTGATTTGTTTTCACAGTGCTAATTTGAAGAGAAACTGTAAAATACCACGTTACCCGCGTGAAGGAGGGATCACAGAACGTTTCTGCACTGTTTTCCTTCTGATGGTTCCAGGACTTTGTAGCTTCTAGAGCAGAGAGACAAACTGGAGCGAAGCTGCCAACTGGCCACACTAAGATGAAAAACAAGACCATTTTCCACTTCATTACTGACTCGTCAGAGGAAGCCGAGAAGCAGAAACGGTCTCCCTAATGAGCTGAGTAAATCCTGCAGCTGCTAAACCTTTGAGTTATTTGTTAGAACATTCTTGGGGACAAAGTTCATCGAGGTGTGGTTCAGGGCCGTGCAGAGACCTTTGAAGGGGCGGGTGCTCACATTTAAAAAGGGGCACACAGAATAATATTTTCTAACACCATGACATAACCACAGTATACCCGGCTGAATAACAAATCATATTTATTAGAAATTCAAAATGGAAGCGAATCATTATATACACCATAAGGACAATGTAAAGCCAAAGTTACTTGTTTTGGTAAATGGTCTGTATTTGTATAATGCCTTCTTAGGGTTCTACAACCCCCCAAGGCACATTACAACACACACACACACACACACTGATGGTGATGAGCTATGATGTAGCCATAGCTGCTCTGGAGCGCACTGACGGAGGTGACGCTGCTGAGCACAGGCGCCACCAGTCCCTCCGACCACCACCAGCAGGTTAAGTGTCTTGCCCAAGGACACAACAGCATCAATCTCTGATTGAAGTCAGGATCAAACCTGCAACCTTCCGATTACTGGACAACCTGCTCCACCTCCTGATCCATTGCTGTCCTGTTTTACCTGATGATGGGGTACAGTGTAGCTGTTGCAGGGTTGCTCCTCTTGCTGCTGCTGCTGCTGATGCTGCAGGGCAAGGCTGTGTTGATCTCAGACTGTAGGCAGTAAAATGAACAGAGGAGAAATGTTAGTCAATTACAAAATTAATGTAAGATCATAAAAAATGGCAAAAATTGGTGAAAACTCTTAGAACTGTAAGACAGAAATATCTGAGACAACACCTGTGGTGAATAAATGGAAATCTAAACATTAGTGGATAATAGAGGAGTTTATGTCAGAGATAAGAATATAAACAGAAAGAGGTGTGTGTGTGTGTGTGTGTGTGTGTGTGTGTGTGTGTGTGTGTGTGTGTGTGTGTGTGTGTGTGTGTGTGTGTGTGTGTGTCTTCAATCTCCTCATGTGATCTATCACTCTCCACCTGCTGTCCATCTGAGAACAAGGCAACATCAGCTATTGTATGAATGAATTATGTAGTTATTCACATTTAACAGGTCTTGCACCTAATCCATGATCAAGTAGCTATCAAAAAACATTTTCTGGCATCAAAGCATTGCAGTTGTGTATATTATTGTTTCTACACTTGTTGCTGTGATGCAACTTACCTGTACTCTTTTTTACCCAGCTGGTGAGGGACCCACTGCCTTTAGCTGCCTCACGTAGCTCTTTCTGTCGCTGCTTCCACCTCCTCTCCTTACGAAGCATGTCTGTACAATGATATATCATAATTAATTTACAAATATGTTTTCATGCATATAAAACTCATGCATACACATTCTGGGACATTTCATTCCTTCTCCAGAAAACTAACTGTATATAATTTGGCCACAAATTTGCTTCATGATGCTGATCCAGAATATTTCCATACTATTTTAATCATAGTGCTTTAGTAATTATAATAAAAATAAAGAATAAAACAATGTTTATGCTTTCATTCAGTTTTACTATCTACTTTGTGCAAAACAGAGAACTGTACAGATAAAATAATTTTGCTGTGAAAACAGTAGTTTTTTTTAAATGTACATCTTTAAAACATAATGTTTTTTAATACAATGCATTCAAAAAGAGAGCGAATATAAACTCCAAATTTTGAGAATATGCATAGTATTAGTGAACTATAAAACCCACCAGAAGGGCTGAGAAACCTTAAAATCTAAAACAAAACTATGTTCCCTAAAAGGCTGGACCGAATTTACAGACAAGGACTGAATATTTAGTAACACAAAACTTGTGACGGATGTTACCTTTAGTATTTTTCTTATTTCCTTTCTCAAAAGGTAGCTAAATTTTAAATTTGTTCAAGTTTTATCAGTCTGCGAACCAGGAAGTGATTCTGTAAACAAGAAGCAGGGCTGTCACGTGACACGCAGCAGCGACAGGAATGCAACTTTGCGGCACCTAGTTAACAACAACGACATTTTATTAGCAAATTCCCAAAATTTAAGATTGAAAAAATATTTTCGTACAAGTACTTGTGTACAGAATGTTTTTGGTTAATCCTAAAGCTACTGAGGTTCAGAATCGGAAGCCAGCCACAGACACACACCCAGCTAGTAATATATCACACACACCTAGTGCCA